CACACCATCTTGAACAGTTCTAAACAAGAATCAACATTTATGAAGTTAAGATATATGTATATGGTAATAATATAGTTTCTTTGATTGCTAAAATCCCCAATAAGCTTATATACCTGTGCCATTGTTAATGATGAGGATAGCTGAAGCACCAGCAGCTTCAGCAACATTTGCCTTGGTTGTAAAGCTGCAGTTCCCTCGATGCACAAGGATAGTTTCACCAGTAAGCTACAGAAAACATGATCATAAAAATTTCAACAAAGATCTACAAGGAAAGAGGAAGAAGAAGATGAAGAAAAAGTAAACCTTGTTTTTAGGTGTTGTGCAACAGTCGGAAGGGTCTGCAAGAGCAATTCTGCTTTTATCGGCATCCTTCTCCTTGGATTCCAAGGTGGGACCAAATCGGGCACCAACACCGACGAACTCATCTTCTTCTCTATCATCAATCCAAGTTTGGAACCTTCACCTGTTACATAACATAAAGGAATCAGCAAATAGGTGAAAAAGTGTACACCTGAAATTCGGATTTTCTATATTTCAAATGCTTGAGCTAAGGAAATTCAGTTTAGGGTACGATTATGATTTTCTTAGATTTAATTTGACTCATTTTATCAACCTTAGATCACAATCCAACTCTAATACCTCAACCTTAGTCCATCAGCCATAGAAGAACTTCAATTTGAAACAATAATTAAGTAAGAAAACTATTGCAATCACACAAATCACCGTACACTGCGTGACAAATGAACCAACCTGCACATAGAGAAAGCTCACGAGCAAAAAACAATAACAATAACAAATGAATTATTACCAGAACAAAGTTGTTGTCACATCCGGGTCTCGTAGGAGCAACATCATCATGGTGAACTATATCGCCGGCGAAAACAAGAGAAACACAGGAAATTAGCGAAATTACAACCAACGCAAGCACAGCTCTGCTTGGTATCGCTACTGCTGCCTCCATTAATTGGTTCTTGGATCAGGTTTGAAAGCGATCAGTAGTAGAAGGAATTGGTTCAAGAAAACGTGAAGATTGGTGCTGCTTCGTTTTGGTTTGTCATGGTGCGGTGTGACGACGGCGATGACGATGGAGTAGGCGGCAGAAAATGGCGAATATATACGTACGGAAAGCGCGTGTGAACGCGAATTGCTTCTTTTGTTACTTTCGTAACCAACCGCAACAATGGCATTTGAAATGTCGCTCAACAAAATAATAGACATTTTTTTTTGGAATTTGCAAGTGGGTGTCATGAGTTTGTTAAAAAAATATTTCTATATTATCATGTGACCGGTTTATGAATGTAAGTAAAGTAATGTTTGTACTTACTTTCTTAAATGTAAAAGAATAAAAATCTGTTGTAAAATGGGAATGTTATCACCAAAAGGAATTTGACATTTCTATGACCTAAAATTAAAGAGCATTCCCACTTGTTTATTATTAGTATACTATTTACTTTCATTAGTACTGTGTTTAATGAATAAACTTGTTAGAGTGCGACTTTGATCTTTTTGTAACCCGCTACGGAACGAATTGAAGAAACCCGAATGATGATTTCGAAGAGATAAGTGTTTAGAGTACGCTAAGGGCCGTTAGGCCAACCTGTTTTGTTATTCCGGAATTATTTACATACGGGTTCGACCCAATAGCTGCTACGGTTTTCAGTTATAACTTATAAGTATTCATAGTTAGGAATCCAATGTATCACTTTGTAAACATTCAAGTAATAGAAAAGTTTTGTGATTCCTGTATGTTTACATATCAACCGAACCACGTTAATTTTATACGTTGTTTTTCGTGCTTTCTTTGCTTGCTCGCTTAACATGACTAAAATTGGATGAAGTAAAGTTATTGTCGTAGTTTTGTAAGGAAAGAGATTAAGAAGGGATGAGAATCATGTTATGGATGGAAGTCTTGTAAGCAATAACATCTCCAATGGATGCTTTGTTACTAAAATGGAAATATTGGAAGTAAAATGCATTCACCACCTATTGAGTTTCAAATAAATGGATAAAAGAGGCATTTATCTCAAATTTGAAGGGGTTAAATGTTACATTGGTTTTAAGAAGCGTGAACGCTTTGATGTGCTAAGGATCCCATTGGCTGATGTGCGATGTGATTTCGCAAGCATCAGGAACGCAAGGCACACAAGTAGTCACCGATGAATCGTGATTACCAAGATAAAATAATAAATCACAATATAGATAGAAAATATGAATATATGATACACTAATGATCTAACATAAGTGGGAAATGTGCAACTCATAGTACTCAATATCATCGTCAATCGTCATCAACCCCGTCATCAATCCCAAGTACAATGGTATCTCCCTCGTCACCAGACAATCATATAGCTTATTCTATCTAATTTTCATCATTATCAACCAACACACTCTACGAGATGACCTACTAGATTCGTTGGATGTTCCTTTTTTCCTTTATCATTTCTTGATACTCTAGTTATATAACTAGCATCGGTTACCTCAGAGAGACAGTGGCTACAATATCTCATGTCAAATCATTTTTGTTTCCTTCTTCCATTCGCCTTGTTAACCACCATTTCTCTGATTGGTTTTCTATAGTATGATAAGATCGCAAATATCATTTGTTTTATATCTATGGTTTAAGGCATGGTTGGATTTCACATCAACCACATCATTCAGTCTAAAGCATGGTTGGATTTCACATAAACCACAAGGACCAGTGGCGTAACGTGTCTGATAGTTGTCCTCAACATGACACTTTTTGCAAACCGTAAGGACCAATCATGAAATTTTGTCTTAAATATATTAATGTTATTTTTATTAAAATACAAAGATGAAAATTACAGACTTATATTTGTAATTAAAACCACAAGGGTCGTTCAATAATTACATTAGGAAAGAAGGGCATTTCAGTAATTTCACGATTTAAGTAAAATGATTAGTTATTTCTAATTTCACTAAATAAAAGTGTGTTAACAATTTGGTACATTTACAGAAGGATAGTTATTTAAAATATGAAAAAGTAAAGAGAATGTTGGTGAATTGTTTCACTAATTGTATTTAAGTGTAATGGATTGACTTGTTAACTAAAATCAATATTGGTGAATATTAAACAATTAAGGAAGTTCCGGAGTGCACACTTGTTTTTTGTATACTTCATCTTGAATTTTGTATTTCATGTCAAGAAAAAACTAACCAGATGCAGTCAACAAATAGAATTAAACATGGTTCACACATTCTAATATTTCAAGGCTTTTAGATGAGTAAATACTTCAAAGATCTTTACTTTAACTGTTTTATCATTTAAGATTCTTTATTTTCTGTTCAGGACATGGAGCATTTTGTATTTCTTCGACAAACCAAAGAGCAAAACTTCTTATTTCTGGATTAGAGCAAAAAAAATTAGATTTGAACAAGGAATCTTTTTTTTTTCCGGTGTGCGACGAGTAGCAACCAAAATCCAACATGTTATTTAAAGAGCAAGAAAGAAAACCACAAGTTTTGAACAAAAGAATTTCAAGTATTAAATTTTTTTTGTGAAGTTCTAAGTATAAGATTAAAAATGTATTTTAGTAATTTTTTTTTCAGAGTGTTTTCTTAATTTTCTCAGGAATTCAGTTAAATATATTTTTATGTTGAAACAATGAATTAACATGAATTGAATTCAATTTTCATCCAATTCTTATAAACTGCGTGTGAAGTAGAAGCTCCTATAATCTTTGCCTTATTTCTTATGTTTTATATGTGTTTGATTTAAAGACATGGGCATGATTAAGCCTTCTCACCTGGGGCGTGAAAATCCTATGAACCGGCCCTGTTTATATCCGACACCAAGACTAGACGGCTAGGTTCTTGTTCACACCATTAACAATTATTCAATAATATTAATACATTTTGTTTTCAAATCTAAATAACAAATAATTAGTAAAATATGTTATAATCAAAAAGTAATAAATATTTAATTTATGCATTACAAATCAACAAATAAAATTATATGAAAAGTAAATTTGATATGTTTTCAAATGAAAGTTCATTTAAATTTATAATGACTTGTAGTAGGGGTGAGCATTTGGACCGGACAGAACCAGACCGGACCAGCTCTTGGACCGGACTAGTTTCGGAGAATATTTGTAACGATTGATCCAGGTATTAATTATTTCAGCAACATTTTAGGGTTTTGGACAAGAACTCGACAGTTAGGAGCTCCAACTCGTCATGTAGGGATCTATTTGGACGTGGGGTTTAAGGATTTAACTCGATGCTTTGACGCTGGAAATGTAAACCCTAATTTTCGGACATTGTACCCTATTTAAAGGACTTAACTTCTAGGTTGGCCTCCTTACCAGCCTCCCTTGCCCAAAAGAAACCCTAGATCGTTTTCCCCACTTGTTCATTGAGTTCTGGGAGTTTTAGAGTGATTCTTGAAGGAAGTCTTGAAGAGAGAAGTAGCAAGCTTGGAGAAGTGATCTTGGATCCAGAAACTATACATCAAAGGCTACATCTTTGATGTATAAAGTCAGAATGTAACGTCTGGTTCCTGGTATGCACTTAATTCATTTATTTATTCATTTTGGAAGGGCTACTCGACGAGTTGGTGGCCCTAACTCGTCGAGTAGAAGGCAGTATATGCGCGGGTTTTATGTGATCTACTCAACGAGTCGAGGATCTGACTCGACGAGTAGGACAGGCTGGATGAAACCCTAATCTTTAGGGCTTGCACCCTATTTAAGCATCACATCTGGCCTCCATCCCAACCTCCATCACCTCAAAACCCTAATCAACCTTGAACTATTTCTTTCCATTTTGTGATTTAAAGCTAGAAGAAGGAAGCAAAGGCTGGAAGTTGCAGAAGGAAGGTCGAAGATCCAGAGTTAAGGACTCATTTCTGTCTTCATAGAGGTATAAAGCTTATACCTTGGCTGTTATTCACTTAGATCTCCTTCTTAGCTTGTATGTTGACATTTTTGGCCATTTCCAAGGTCATTCCGAGATTTGAACTCTTGTGGATGAAAGGACTTCATATCTGGGCACTCTTGAGATTTAGAAGCTCAAAGTTGCCACCTTTATTCAGCCATGGCCCCATTCTATGACTTAGACCTTCATTTTGGCTTGGATTGGGTGTTTTAGCTTCATAACACCATGCATGCACGTAAAATTAGCAACTTTACATGTAATGCTAGTCTAAGGAGTCCAGATCTATAAGTTAGAAGCATTGGAATGGATTAGAATCGACTGAATGGATATATCACATGGAGGACTCGACGAGTTGTTCTTGGACTCGGCGAGTCGGGTCATGAACCCTAACTCCTTTTCTGGTTGTGAGTGAAACCTTTGAGTCTAGGAGATGACTCAGTGAGTTGGACAAGATTAGGACTTGGAAGCTGAAGAACTCAACGAGTCCAAGGAGGGACTCGACGAGTTAAAGTCGATATGTCCCGATGTTTTGACAGATAGAACTTGACGAGTCTGGGAAGGGACTCGACGAGTTGACTTAGTTGACCACGGGTCTGAGTTGTTCATGAACTCGCCGAGTTAGGAGATGACTCGACGAGTTGGGGTTGACTGGAGTTGACCTTGACTTTGACTTTGACCAGGATGTTAACTTTGACCAGGGGTAAAATGGTAATTTTACCCTGAGAAGGATTATCAGATTTTGACTAAGTATTATTGTGATATTGATAGCCGGGGAGTCGTTGGAGCAGCTATCAGATATTCCTCACCGCGAGTTTTTGCAGACAGCTTTGCGAGGTGAGTTTTCTCCAGTAGGGACGGGTCTACGACACCAAGGTCGGCCCGTTTAGATAGCAGTAGTTTCGGACCACGGTTTGATGTCGGGCCGGGGCCCGAAGTAGGTTTAAATGTTTTCCGGATTCCGATCCGATGTCGGGGCGGTCCCGAGGAATGCTTGTATGCTTGATGTCTTTGTGATTCTTGCATGTGTTTGTTATGTGTTATGTGTTTCGGGCTTAGTTCCGATGTCGAGGCAAGCCTGAGGAATGTCTAGTTAATATGTTATGATAATATGTTTCAGACTCCAGTCTGATGCCGGGGCGGTTCCCGAGGAATGTTAGTATGTTTCCGGATCTCGGTCCAATGCCGGGCGGGGCCCGAGGAATGTTTTCATGCTAGGGTTATGTGCTTATGTTATATGTTGTTGATATGTATATGTATGCCGAGATCTACTCGATGTC